TGCGGCCAGTTGAAGGCTTTTGTGCCTCTCCCGCTCGCTGTAGAACCTCGCTTTTTCGAGTTCTTGTGAAAGGAGGCCAAACGGCTCTCGTATGTGATGAATTGGTCTGTGACGTCGTCAAAAGACATGGTTGTTGTAGTGTTGCGCGTGAAAGCGCGGTCAGTCAAGGGTATTTAAAACAAGACGCGATGCTTCGATTGTGGGCAAACAAATTGGAGAGCTCGGTCTAGTTAGCAGCTTTAGCAAGCGGTCGACGACGTAGAAAGAAGAGAAAATAGAATAGATAATCGCGCTCATGAGAGGATATGTTCAACTCGAAAACAAGGGCGCGCGCTGCGTCAACACAATAGAACTGAATGACGGTGAAAGACGGGTTGTGGTGGAAGGAATTGAATTAGAGGTGATCGTAGCGAGCGAGGATCTAGACTAGGAATTGGATCCAAGACAAGCAAGCAAGCAAGCAAGCAACGCAAAGTGTCGGGGTGGGTCCTGGCGCGTTTGTTTACTTTGGTGGATCCATGCCAGCAACTCAACCCCATAGATCTAAACATCCATGGACTTAGGGCCCTGGGTCACCAATAGAGGCCTGGGAAATACAGCACTTTGATACGGTGAGTGTCAGGTGGAAATATTGCAATGTTGTTGGGGTAAAGTCGACTGTCTATTCCGATATATTCCTAAGTCTGTACCTATTATTGTCAATTGGCCCAATTACTACTCCGTACTCCAAACATCTTAGCACTACCATCAATCACATAGGAAGAAGCAAGCATCATAAGTAAATCGTATATAATCTGACTCGTCAATTCTGACTTACGACCCTACACTTCAATTTATCACAGCTTGCCAGCAGCCTTCAATCCTCGCTCACCATCAACCAAGATACACCACCCCTCATGGCCTCGGCCACCATCACCAGCAACAACAGCCTCAAATGTCCCAGGAGCGTTGGCGAACTTGAGGACAGCGTCATCAAAACTGCCAGGCTGCAGCCACACCGACGGAATGCCCTTCTCCTTTGCCTCCTGAAGCACCTTTAGGGTCGCTGCTGGTGGAGTAATGACTGACAGAGATGTCTGCGTAGGGTTTGAAAGAGCGGTCACACTAGGAACAGTAGGGTGGTCCTTGTTCAAAGCGTTGATGGTCTCTGAGCCCGGGTTGATGGGAGTTACTGGTAAGTCATGGTGGAGATACCAGGCAAAGACTACAAGTTCCTTGATGAGCAAGATACTATCGCATACAATGAGCAGGTAGTCTTACCGCGATGTCCGAACTTGGCAGGGTTGGAGCTGGCACCAGCCACGGCATAGGCGGATGATGCAAAGAATTTGCGAACAGTAGCCTCAGTCGCCATTTTGAAGATAATGTATGTTGCTCAATGTTGAAGAAACAAGTGCTTGATGATGCTGTAAGTGAGTTTGTGCCGAGGATAAAGGTCATTGCGGGGCTCTACATAAGACGCAATACCTCACTCACACTTACAACTGACTGCCATTAACCGGCCATTATAAGTCATTGCAATGTTCCAAGTTTATAGGCGAATCATGAGGCACTTCCATGTGGAACGCCATTGTCACTGGATCAATTCCACATTCGGGCAAGGTCACTCGTTCAAGAAATGTATCTCCTAGGAGATTGTTGAACTGACTCCGCCGTTGGAAAGCTATTTACTACCTCACTTTTAGCATCGGCTGAGTCGGATGATATCGTCCATCTAGAGGGGATTTCGATGACTCTTTGGACTGAATATTTTCTCTTTATTTTATGAAATTCTAGCGTGATCATCAAGTTGCTGTTATACTAAACCTTTGTTCTTCAATGGTTCGAAAGACAAGAGTCCTGTCACATAGATACCAACTCGAATCATTTAATCATTCAAAGACAATACAACAATGTAAAAGATGCTGTCAGTGATTAGAGTAGCTAACATAGTCTACCGAAGACCTCGTCGATTTTCTCATCACCCCAGAAGTGCGATTTTGGTCAGTTGCAAGTTGACTAGGCTTCAGTGTTCAGGGTAAGCAACAACGGCTTGGAATCATGAGATACAACGCGGGACAGATCATGATCGGTAGTTAGCAAGCGAACAAGATCTACGATAAGCTTCATTATTAGCCAGGACTTGAATGATGCTAGCCAAAGCCGGGAAGACTTAAGCCAAGAGATAATTTCCGAGATCGCGGGATGAAATGAAGCCCCCATGATGGATTCAAAAAGAGATTAAGCGATTACAATGACGTCGTTTAGGAAATTCAATGTCACATGAAGGGTGACAGCAATCTCAGGGTCTGCAAAGCTTAGGGTTTCTTATCAGAAGTGGCTCCAACTCATCAGGTATAAGGTATGAATAATTAAGCAGACCTCAGTATAGACACAGAGTATTGAGGCTGTCCTGACCTTGACTCACCAGAATAGATAGTCTATAGAGTTTTGGTTACCGAATTGACGCAGAATGGTCACAGAAAAACATGACGACATGTGTCTTCCACAACAGAAGGATCTGGGGTATTAATCAAATAGTTTTGCCAGCATATAAAGACGACGGGAAGCCTCGCAGCGGCGACCACAGGGAACTGCATGACCAAGAATAATCGATACAAATTGGATTGATGATTCGATCATTCTTATTAGCTTGCATAAGTGAAACATTGAAACGATAACGTCGGATCATCGGAGTGTAGCCAAGTATTGGCAGCCTTAACATACCATTTTAATACGAAGGGTCCCTGTGAGGCTCTGCTGCATTTGGAGGGATGGATTCCATCCAGTGTCACGATAGCCTCACCAGGAAGAGCATCTGCCAAGACATGTTGAAGTCCGAGAACTGCGACTTCGGCAGTTGATTTTTATGTCGAGAAACTTCTTGGGCTGGTGTTTGACATAACTTTGATTCATCCAAAAGGGGCCTTGCATTATTTCCTCCGGTTTCAATAGTTTCACCGCCAAACGGCATTAGCAGAGAGAGGACATAATTAAGCAGACAGCTTTGGTGGCTGCTCCAGTACAAAGATGGCCAGTCCTTTTCTGGACCTACAGGCCTGGCTGACTTTGGCCCATAGGATGACCCCGTTGCCCCGTCAGTGTATGGGAAAAGAGCCCAGGGAGGCCAGAGCGCGGAGAGGAAATGCAAACGGGATGCAATCTTGGCCCTCTTTTCCTCTTTCTTCATCTTTCAACCTCTCAACACCATTTCCTACGCTCGAGAACCATCTCAAAGACATTCTTCCGACCGTTGTAGCAACTGTTTGTTGTGTCACCAAACCAACCAGCCACAGACACACACACCCACTAACGTCAACGTTGACCCCTCTAATAAAACAAACCAAAAATGGTGAGTGAGCTCAGTTGCCCCGGACACCCCTTTCTTCGCCCACGTAAACAATGCACCCCGCCCTCTGATTCGACAGTTTGGTCGCCCGAATAAGTTGGAAGTTGGTTTTGCTTCAGCTCGCCCGGCACAAGCCTTGGATTTTCGACCTGCATCTCGCATACTTCTACAACTACCGAGCAGCAACACTTTCAATCGCATTCTTCAGAACGCATTTTCCACATACACTCGAGCCTCGAAATCAATCAAATAAGCAATCATGTCTTCTAACAAGTTCGATTCTCAGGCTTCTACCAACTACAAGGAGGCTTTCGCCCTGTTCGACAAGCGCGGAAACGGCCGTGTCACTGTTGACAGCCTCGGTGATCTGCTGCGCGCCTGCGGCCAGAACCCTACTCTTGCTGAGATCCAGGACCTCGAGAAGAATGTCGGTGGTGAATGTGAGTATACTCCCTGCGGTGCGATTTAAGAGCGCATAACTGACCCTGGCGACGTAGTCGACTTTGAGACATTCCAGCGTGTTTTGAACCGCCCTGGCGGCTTCCGCGATCCCGGCGAGCCTGAGGAATACTGCCGCGGTTTCCAAGTGTTTGATAAGGATATGACGGGTTTCATCGGCGTCGGCCAGCTCAAGTACATTCTGACAAACCTGGGCGAGAAGATGACTGATGAGGAGGTCGATGAGCTCCTCAAGGCCGTTGACACCAGCTCAGGCCAGGTCAACTACACTGGTAAGTTCTACAGAACCTCATATCCAATGGGGCAGCAGCTAAGGCGATGCGATTACAGATCTCGTGCGAACCATCCTCGCCAACTAGACACTATACAGATATGGGCGGGTTAGGTTATGCATCTGCGTTGACGGACCGGCGTTTGCTTGTTTGATTGATTATGGATATGGATGGAAATCGGCTATGGGAACGCTGAAATGACGAATTATTGCTGCGCATTTGCGACGCACTAGCATGTTGGATTTTTGTAGATACTAAGGGGGCAGGAGTCTAGAAATGAAGCTCTATGTGCCTTGACTTGAACAGTGTCTCATCTGGTGAAGTTATCATGACCTGAGCTCATACATGACGACTGATATAAACAACCTTAATTAACCCTCGTTTCTGTTTACATAAACAGTTTCACATAAATCGATTAAAAGATTATGGCCTCGAACCTGAGTTATGCCATATATAGCACATGATAACTCATTAGCCGCCCTGATCATGACACCGCATCCGACTGCCCCGCGTTTTCCACCCATAAGCGGGTCCACGAAGGAGCTCTACCTTTAGCTGCCTTCACTTAAGGTATCGCCCCATCTTGCTGCATCGACAGTAACGCCCTCTCAACGCCTTTGACGCCTAGAAACGGATCAATCGATTTAGTCTCAGAGCATAAGCCCCTCTTTCAACTGTAGGTTGCCTCAATCATCCATCATCAAGCCAATCGGCTAACATCCCAAGAAACATCCCGAGCACGTCCATCCATTATATCCAAGCTGGATAAGCGTGCTTCCCGCAGACCCCTCCTCCTACTCCTCCTCTCTCTCTTCATCCTTCTCGTCGCCGTCACTCTGGCTTCCTCACGAGCCTTCTCTCGTCTCGGCTCCTTAGTGAATCACTTCCGATTCCAAGCCCCACGAACTATTCTATCACGGAGGCAGCTTGTTACTAGCACAATGGCTCCCGACAAGTATCGTAACCCTCCTCAGGCACCGCCTCTGTTCACCGCCACCCCAGAATCGATCGCCGCCGATACCAAGAAGCTTTGCGATGCTACGAAGAACGTGTTGGACTCTGTAACTGCGAATGTCACTGCCGACAAGGCCTCTTTTGCCAATGTGCTTGAGCCCATCCTCGTTGACGAGAACTTGGCTGCTACGCAGAGACGCATCTTGACCTTCTATCACCATGTTTCCACCAACAAGGAGCTTCGCGATGCCTCTACTGAGGCCGAGAGCGCCTTCAATGACTTCGGTATTGAATGCAACATGCGGGAGGACGTTTTCAACGCCGTCGACGCTGCCTACGCCAACCGAGAATCCCAGGATCTCACCAAGGAGCAGGCGCACGTTCTTGAGAAGGAGCGGCAGAAGTACATTCGAAACGGTCTTCGACTACCCGCTGGTCCCAAGCGAGACCGCTTCAAGGAGATCCAGAAGCGTCTGAGCGAGCTTGAGATAAAGGCTCAGAAAAACCTTAACGAAGAGAAGGGTGCCATCTGGTTCACCCCCGAGGAACTCAAGGGAGTTCCTTCTGACGACATCGACATTGATTCCCTGGAGAAGGGTACTGGCGAGAATGAGGGCAAAGTCAAGCTGTCCTTCAAGTACAACCATTACTTCCCCCTCATCAAGTATGCTATCGACGCCGATACCCGCCGCAAGTACACAATCGCGGAATCCAACAAGGTAAGATAAGCAGCGAAACTCCAAAATCTGGGCTAATTAAACCTCCAGGCGAATGTCAATGTTCCTATCTTCCAAGAGATCATCACCCTCCGAGATGAGGCCGCTCGCCTTCTCGGTTACGACAACCATGCCGCTCTGCGCATTGAAGAAAAGATGGCCAAAACTCCTGCTGCTGTTCGCACTTTCCTGGACGATCTTCGAAACAGACTGGCCGAAGGCGGTGCGAAGGAGATCAACGCACTGAAGGAGTACAAGAAGAAGGACTACGAGGAGCGCGGCCTTTCATTTGACGACAGCTTCTACATGTGGGACACATCGTTCTACTCCAGAATACAAAAGGAGAAGGAGTATAGTGTCGACGAAGCTGCCATCTCACAGTACTTCCCTGTTGAGTCGACATTTGCTGGCATGCTTAAGATTTTCGAGGAGATTTTCGGCTTTGTGTTTGTCGAGCTCAAGCCTGATGAGCGAGCGAGACTCAGCCCCACTGGCAAGGCCGAAGACATTGTGTGGCATGAGGATGTTTTGATCTACAGCGTGTGGGACGATGAGGCTTCGGGCTCAAGCTTCAACGGTTACCTGTACCTGGATCTTCACCCCCGTGACAACAAGTATGGCCACAACGCCAACTTCAACCTCGAACCTGGTTATGTCACTGAGGATGGCAAGAAGCATTACCCCGTCACTGCTCTTGTCTGCAATTTCAGTAAGCCTACACCAAAGAAACCTTCTCTGCTCAAGCATCATGAAGTTGTGACCCTGTTCCACGAGCTGGGCCATGGCATTCACGACTTGGCTGGCCGCACCCGCTACAGCTACTTCCACGGAACTTCTACGGTGCTCGACTTCGTTGAAGCTCCCTCTCAAATGCTGGAGAACTGGTGTTGGACACCTAGCGTGCTTAAATCGCTTTCCAAGCATTGGGAGACCCAGGAGCAAATCCCCGACGAGCTTATCGAGAAGCTTGTCTCAACCAAGCGTCTCAACTCCGCTATAGGTGCACTGGGACAGCTTGTTATTGGACTCTTTGACATGACTGTGCACACGCCCGAGTCCCATGAGGCTGTCAAGAAGCTCAATGCTGGCCGAGTTTGGAACACTCTTAGGCATGAGATCTCTGGCACCAAAGGCCCTGAAGATCTGGGTGAAGGATTGTAAGTATCTGCTGGAGATGACCTTTTACTGTTAAACTAACTTGCATGTAGTGAATGGGGTAACAGGCATGCCGGCATTGGCCACTTCATTGGCGGGTACGATGCTGGTTACTACGGCTACCTCTACTCAGAAGTGTTCTCGCTCGATATGTTCCACTCGTTCTTCGCCAAGAACCCAATGGACCGCAAGGAGGGTCGCCGGTATCGCCATACCGTTCTCGAGAGAGGTGGTAGTATTCCAGAGTTGGAATTCTTGAGGGAGTTTCTGGGCCGAGAGCCTAGTTCGGAAGCTTTCTATAAGGAGCTTGGACTTTCTTCATCCGCGTAGAAGAAAGCCACGAAAAAAAAAGGCCGCGTAGACAATGTTTTATCATATCAAAGTCAGCGAAACAGAAGAGAATAAACCACCAGCGATTGGTCAGATAAAAGAAACAATGCGGTGAAAGTATCGCAGCTCGGAATGTTTATCGATGACCCACGTGGAAGTGTTGCACGAGAATAGTACCAAGTTCTTGGTTTCCAGGGGATGCAGTGATATACGAGAACAGAATCTCGTATCTTGCGGCCACCCGCGCCGTAGATCTTGGTACCTTGGTGCTGTGCCTGGAGATTGGCTATGCAATGACCGCACTCTAATGTTGTTACTGGACAGGCTGTAGATGCAAGGTTGGCTGCATGGATAGTGGTGTTGTACGGTTATAGCGTTGTGTAACTCAGCGTTTTCGCCAAGTCGAGGACTGATGATATGAACCTAGAGATAGAACCCTCGTAAGAATGCAAAATGAGAACCCAGCTGAGTTTATTGAATGCAATCAGCCGTTACTGGGCAATATTCTTGGAGTGCACCGTGGCCTGTAGGCTCCCTTTCGGTCAGGATTTCTGTGTATGATAGGAGCGCTTATTTAAGCTTAACTTGTTAGAATTGATTTGAAAGAGCAGGTTGGAAGTACAGGGAGTGGCCTACTAAAGCATTATATTAACTGTAAACACGGACTGAAAGTAGAGGTATTCAAGACTAAGGAGTACAGACTCGAAATTGCTGGCTGGAAATACAGGACAAGAGCAAACGCTTGCCGAGGACTGATGTTGAGAGATCCAATGCCAAGGAGTCGGTAAGAAAATTCTGACTGGAAGGATTGTGGTTACATTCAGTCAATAGTGTATCGAAATAATGGGCTGTTTTCTAGGGTAAGGTACCGGAATTTCGGGCAACTTCCTCACCTTTCGCCTGGCACCTTGTAAGTTGGATGGTGTCGTCTAGATTCAGTCATCTACGATACCTACTCATAGTATCCTGAGTCAAGTGCTTACAATGGCCTTGAATGGCCTAGTTCACTACGTTGTGGCATCATCCCCAGGATCTCGAACAACAAGGAATACGTTATCAAGAATCGTGGGGAAGTGAGATTCACAATGCGGAGGCATCCCCGCCCCGAACTCATACTGAGATAGTCGGATCCTGGGGAGTGCCTGGTCTGCCCATGAAGCGATTCTGGGGAAATATCATCAACGGGGGTATCCGGAGCCGTGTGGAGGTGAGAAAACGGCGCTTGACCTCCGCGTGGCTGGCTGCCGCGGCCGCCGCGATGGCTTCATCAACTCATTTGGTTGGAGTAGGCATCCATAATGTTCAACGACCGGGGACTAAGCCGGGCGCTACGGCGTTGAACGGGCTTTCGCCTCCGTGCCGCCGGTTCCCTTCCATCAGACCACTCCGAAGATCCCTGAAGGGGAGAGATTGAGGAGCCAGTGGGAGTTGAGGATTTGAAAGACAGGAAACGGAGGAACAGACGAGAATGACGCGGTTTGTATTGTATCTTGAGGGTTTGAGTTTGAGTTTGATGGGATCTGCGGAGAAGCTGGAGATGGGTTGAAGTTTTGGTATGGATGGCTTGAGTGGGGGAACGGGTAGTCTAAGTTGAAGATTGCGGGGAAGATGGGGTAATATTGAGGGCATTGTAGAGGATGAGATGCTGTTATCATATCAAAATAAAAGTGATTATTATTTGGTACTTGATACTTGAGGATGCATTGCATTTCATTGCTGCCTAGAATAAGTGGAAATATGATAGATATTTGAACTGCCTGACCGGTGAGAGACAGTGTTCTGCTTGTCTCATTACCAAGCAGCCACAGATGTATATCCAGTCAACTATTATACTGCACCCTGCACATCCTCATTTCAACATGTACGTATCCGAGCTGAAATTTCTATTCACCGTCTCTGCCTGCCTGGCCTGCTCTCATATGCTGTAACAACGGCATCAACGGCGTGGCTGAAGAATCAGAAGAGCACGACTGGACAGAGTCTCTTCCTCGCTTCAGGGCACGTTCCAGAAATGAAGCGTCATATGCAGGTTCCCTAGCGCTAAACCATCTCCAAAATGCTTTTAGCGGGCTGATGTTCCAGGCGATGTTACTCCCAAAAACGTGGCGGGGACCGGCGGGAAGACCGTAGCGTGCGGAGCAAACACCGGGAGTGGACCGTGCTGTACCGTGGGAGGGGAGACTGAAGGAGGGAACGAATAGCCTTTTGAAGATTGGTTTGTATCACGAAACATATTGAGGGTGTCTGATTTGTCGGGGCTTACTCGAAAGGTGTTTCATACGATTTACTACTTAGCTGTCAGTATGAGAATACAGGCCTAGAGTGAAGTCATGATCTCTTCCTTGTTCCTGGCTGAAGATCTTGGATCAGGGAGTGATTATATCGGAGTATGTTGATTGGGTTGTCCGTGAGAAGAGGGGAAACTCAAAGTGCCGTTGAGAATGGAGATACAAAGTCTTGGCTGTGTTTAGAGCAGCGAATGTAGTAGAGAAAAACTGGGACTGATGAGGGGATACAGGGTTAGTTTTGAAAGGCGTGCTTCCGATAGTTGGACCTAATGCATGGTCCCCGGGGAGCAAGAACACATCAGACCTTGATATAGGGTGCTAAAACAAATTTAGCATTTTCTTTCCTCTCCTAGATGGTGACAAACAGCGGATCCGATGCAAGACAATAGGCAATGTAGGGATAAGGATATCAAAACAAACAGTTTAGTTGATCATCAATGAGCCCCAGAATTAGATGAATCTGAATCTGAATCTGAATCTCTTTAGGGACATGTTTGCGTTTGTGTCAAGAATGGGATGACATGACATGGCCCGTCCCCCGTCATCTCTGAACACAAGGCCTTTCATCTGGAGACACAGTAACATGACCTTACATGACATAACATTACATGAGATGAGATGCCATGCACGATTCGATTACAGCAGGCTTCGAAATAATGGTACATGTGCACCGATCAATTCTGTCTGAGTACGTTAGTCCTGAAGACACGGCGCTGATCACTAAGCACGTATGTAAAGTTGGGGAAAATAAACTTCAACTTGGCATTGGAGATTCCTTTAGCGATTGACACTAACGAAAGCACCTACACCAAAACCCCGATGATCTACTGCCCTGTAAACCAATTAGTGGTCATGCTCGCTAGTCTGACCCGACTCTCTTGATCCCTCTCTCACCTCTCACCTCTCCCTTCGTCACGGCTCACACCTCGCACATGAGTTACTTGGCCCAACACGCTCAGAGCGCCATCTCGCGTGGCCGCCCCTCGGAAACACAAGGAAAGGAAAAGACAAAAAGAGCGTGACGTTTGGCGTTACATGGCCCATCTGCCGGGCTCCATAATGATTTTCAACTAACTCAAGTCAAGTCATATCAAGTCAAGGACAATGTAAGTTGATGCTTGCGTGCAAGGATTGCATTCCCTGCAAAGGTACCCCAAGCCTCCTCGCAAAAGAGGAAAGAAAGGCAAGATCCTCAAGATTCTCATGCGGCGAGTATTTTTCTACACCCCCTCCCCTTCTGAGACATCAGAGATTTTCATACCCTGTAAATGTGGAGGAGAGATACATCGAGAAGGATTCTGACATGTGGTTCGTCGGCTAGTATAGTCGGCTGCAGTAAACGGACGGACAAACGGAGGAGACAGGGGAATCCAAGGGTTGCATACTACTCCAATTCCATTCTCTCCGCACTAACGAGACTATCATCCTTCCATCGTTGGCTCAAGACGAGAAACGTGAACGCCCAAATTCTCCACACGCCGAGTTAGGGGTCTAAATAGTACGTTGAGAAGTGAGGCTTTCCTAGGATATACCTACACTCAAGCCTAGGGGAGGTTAGAATAATTGACTATTAAAAGGGCCACTTTCCCCAGGTTCCTCGAAAGAGATATCCTGCCAGACAAGTATCTACAACTATCATCAAGAACAGAAGCAGAGACAGGATCAGAACTGGAAACTTGCTTCTTCTTTTGCTTGTTTCGTTCTCCCGTTTCTCGCCTCGTTGATACTACCTACGCAAATAAGAGGGTTTCCTTCCTTCCCCCTTGTTGCACCTCCACCGTCACTCCCGCGTCTGGGGTTCGGGCATTACCTTCCATACTTGACTTGATTTGGCCCTACAGCTTCTTCTGTCTGTCTCTCATATTGACGAGGTTCTGTTGCTCAGATACCACCTGCCTCCTCTTTTGAGCCTCCATTCTTAGGTTCCTTCCTCCCCTTCTGTCTCGGCTGGTTGCTTCTCTGCATCCTCTGTCCTCCGTCAGTTCCTTCCCACCACGTTTTTTAGAAGCCGGCCCTACTTCTACCCATCACCTTCTCGTGTGATCCTACGATAGATTACCTTGCCTTCGACCCTTGTCTACAAGTTCTTTGATTGTTTTGGATCCCTTCATCATGAGCGACTACGACCGAAAGGAAACTTTGGAGGAGAAGGCCTCAACCTCGGAGGTGGATCTTGCTGGTGTTAATGACCCTTATGCTGGACTTACCGAGGAAGAGGCGAGAGAAGCTGTAAGTGGCATTGAAACAGAATTTTGATGATCTGCACTAACAAGGTTTCAGGAGAAGAAGTTGCTTCGAAAGATTGATATGAGACTCGTTCCTTGGGTATGACAACTCTGCACTATATACCATGTAACCTACTAACCACAATCCAGCTTTGCCTCCTTTACCTCATCTGCTTCCTCGACCGAACCAATATCGGAAATGCAAAGATTGCCGGTTTACTGGATGATGTGCATATGGACACTCACCACTTCAACCTGACTTTGACCATTTTCTACATCTCTTACGCCGTCTTTGAGCCTCTTGCCAATGTCCTGCTCAAGTGGTCCAAGCCATCCATCTTCATTCCTGCCATCATGTGAGTTCAAATCCTCAGTAAACCACTAGCACAGAACTAATTGGTAGTCAGGGTCCTCTGGGGTGCCTCAATGCTGGGAATGGGCTTCGTAAAGACCTGGGACGGCCTCATGGCTGCTCGATGGTTCCTCGGTGTCACAGAAGCCGGCCTCTTCCCCGGAATCAACTACTACCTTTCCTGCTGGTATAAGCGATCCGAATTCGGTGCTCGTGCCGCATGGTTCTTCTCAGCTGCAGCTCTTGCCGGTTCTTTCGGTGGTCTCTTGGCTGCTGCTATCCAGAAGATGGATGGTGTCTCCGGTATTGCCGGCTGGGCATGGATTTTCATCCTTGAAGGTCTTATGACCATCGTTGTTGGTATCATCTCGTTCTGGATGGTCCATGATTTCCCCACCGATGCCAAGTTTATCACCGAAGAGGAACGAGCTCGCGTCATCTATCGACTCACTGCCGACAAACAATCTTCTGCCCAGGATGAACAATTCAAGATGAAGTACTTCTGGCAGTCTATCACCGACTGGAAGACCTACTGCGGCATGCTCATCTACATGGGACCCCTGATGCCCCTGTACTCTTTCAGCGTTTTCCTGCCTACCATCATCCAGAACATGGCCTTCACCGACAAGAAGGCCGTTGTCAAGAACCAGCTTCTCAGCGTACCGCCCTACGCTTTGGCCGCAGTTGTTACTATTTGCGTTGGTATATATTCCGACAGACTCAACAAGCGAGGCATCTTCAACCTGTGCGCTGCCCCTGTCGGTATGGCAGGCTTCATCATGCTTATCGCTTCTACGAACCCTGCTGTTCAGTACACTGGTTGCTTCCTGGGTGCCCTGGGTATCTACCCTGTCATTCCAATCACGATCAGTTGGGTCGCCAACAATGTTGAGGGTGTTTACAAGCGAGGCATCACTCTTGGGTTTGTCATAGGATGGGGCAACCTCAACGGTGTTGTGAGCAGCAACGTCTTCATCAACGGTCCACGATTCTACCCAGGACATGGAACTGTCCTTGCGTACATGTTTGGTGGCATCTTTTGTGGAAGTTTTCTGATGTATTTCTTGCTCTCGCGTGAGAATAAGGCGCGGTTGGCTGGTGAGCGGGATCACCTAGTCGAGGGCAAGTCTGAGGCGGAGATCCATGAGATGGGAGATAAGCGACCCGATTTCCTTTACACACTGTAATGATATTTACGATACGTCAGAAAGAGGAGGATTGTTAGTGGTGGATGTTATTATACAGGGTCTATAGTTTTTGAGCTCTTTCGTTAGCTAGATTGTCAAGTGGCGCTGAGCTCAATCGATTCATTAACTTAGCTGACTTGTCACTTTTCTCTGCATTTTTGACGGCTGTGTGCATAATTCTCTCATGCGAGAGCTGCAGGTGAGAAACTGTGCTGTGGGTTTGTCTTTGAGATAGCCAATCGAATGAGTTTTGCATGTTCTAGAAGAGTAGGTGAGCATCGCATTCCAGAGCCTGATTTGAGACTCAGCCAGCCAGAGAACAGAAACAAAGCAAGCAAGCAAACAAACAAACAACCAGGGAAAATACGCAGCTGGATCTGCTGACCATACCAAGTTGGTCCTGTACCTGAAATAGAATAGCCTAACTATGCGATGCAGACATAGAGATTACCTACCTGGACATACATCGGATGTGCCAAGGAGAGCAGAGCAATTGGATCAAGGCTATTGTTTGTCGCAGCAGCCACCCGCCACGTTTCATAACTAGCCCAGCTCCAAACGATAGAGACCCAAGCCTCGTCAGCGGGTAAAGGGCTAATCGAGCTCGAGTCTGCGCCGAGAAAAGGTGTTGGTGATGTCACACCCCGATTCAGCCCACGGGAGGCTACAGCTCTAGCCTTGAAATTGAGGGCCATGTTTCTCTTTTCCGTCTCTCACCGCAATTGGAACGTACTAAAGCTCGGTTAGAGAATCGTCAGCTCTACTCGGCTCGCCATCTTGTTTTGGATGGTCTTTAGTTTAGTTGGGTTCAGGAGAAGCTAGGTCTCTCCGAGTCCGGGGAGGCTGAAAGTTGGGACCATGCTATCCATCTCATCTCATCTCATCTACTCCATATTTGGAGATCGAGACTAGCGAAACGCACAGGCGATGCCAAGGCCAAGCCTTAGATCGCGGGGTGGAAGATGCAACGTCGAGGCTCGTTCGAGGGGCGCCTTTGTTTGCGTGTTTGGATCGTAGAGAGGACCAACAGTACATAGAAGGAGTCGAGCATTAGCCTACCGAGTCACCGCTTTTGGTACGAACTGACCGTTTTGGATGAAACCTGAGACTATCAGCAGGAGATGGGACAAATCTGGGGATGAGAATCTGGGGGAATGGGTGTTGGTGGATAGTATAAAGTTGGCGTTGGCCGAGGGTGAGCGTGACAGTGACAGTGACAGTGACAGTGACAGTGACAGTGACAGTGATTGACAGTTCGTGGTAATTCGATTCTTAAGAGACAGGATATCTCGAGCTGTGTTGTGTCGGAGAGAGAGAGAGAGAGAGGGTGCTTTGGCCATCAGTGTCAGTGTCACTGACACTGCAAAGCCTACATCAGCCAGCATTATAATTCAAGTGTTGGTGGGAATTCAGAAGAGACAACGCAAATTCACCCACTCTCTGATATTTCTTTCTCCTGGAGGGCGACAACTCGAGAGGATTGGCAGATGAGAAAAGGCAAGTTGCAGAGCCAAGAGATAGATTGTGACTAACACAATTCTATCAAGCAGTCTGCATATCCTTCTTCATCTCTCTCTGCCGAGACCACAAGAAGTAGAAGTGTTCGCTTGTCGAGAAATCAAAACCATCCTCTCACAGTCCAAAAACATAAGAGGCAAAAGATCCCTCGTCTAACGGCAACGGCAGAAGCGGGTGCTTGCATCGCGTTAATGTAACACGACGCTTCGACCTTGGCCCTCCTTGGACGACTCACTCAGACCATTGTTATCCCTCTTCTCTTCTCTTCTCTTTTACCTCTCTCGCTCTCTCTCGCTCTCTCTCAGTCACTCTCAGTCACTCTCTTGTACTATCGCTCATTTCTCTTCTCGTCTTGTACAGTTGAACAACAAGTTACGCAAACAAAAGAAAAAGGGCATCACTTGACACTCCCTCACCTCACTCCTCTTCTTCTCCTTCTCGCTCTCTTTTATTCTCTCCATCCTCATTATTCACCTTTGTTTGCTTCATACCAATCATTTCTTTTGCTTCTTGCACTCGCTCCCCCCCCCCACTCCCTTACTCGGGGACTCGGGAAACGAGAAAACACCACCTAGAAAAGAATGAGCCACAAGTTCGTCGCGGGGAGAGGCATGCAGTCTATGGAACTCGAGCCGACTCAGAGGACAACGCTGGTGCTGTTTGAGCGCATAGGAGGCTCTATCAGCTTGGTCGCTGTCCTCTGTATTTTCGTCGCGTATGCGCTTGTGCCTAAAGTTCGAAATGTTCAAAACACCTTCATCGTGTTTGCGAGCGTCGCAAATGTTGGTGCGAGTGTTGCGAGTATCATCGCCTTGGATGGTTTGGAACTAGGCGTCGCTTCGCCTCTTTGTCAGGCACAGAGTTTCATGTTTCATATGTGAGTTGCCTCTCATTATCTCCTCCTCATTCTCATTCTCCTTCTGTTATCACTGACCTCATGTAGGTTCATGCAGTCTGATCCCTGGTGGTCTCTGGCCATGGCATTCAACGTCTTCCTCGTCTTCTTCTTCCGCGCCAAACCCGACTCATTCCGCAGATGGTGGTGGATATATTGTCTCATTTGTTACGGTGGCCCTTTTGCTATTGCTATGGCGTTGCTTCTGGTTAGAAACCCGAACCGCGGCCTTGTGTTTGGTGAGGCCACTGTAAGTCCGCCCCTGGGTATCAAGACAAAGGGGGCATTGTTGTTGACTCGATGACAGATCTGGTGCTGGGTCAACCAGGACTGGGAAGGAATCCGTATATATACTTACTATATGCTCGTCTGGGTTTGTATCGCTGGTTCGATCCTCTTCTACTTCCTGGTTGGCTACCATGTCTTCCATACTCGGAACCAACTCAAGAGTTTGACTGCCTCAAGGAGTCGAGAGCCAGCTCCTGTTGAGCCACCCCAGCCCCAAGCTGTAAGTCTGCCTGACGTGTATAACACACATGATAAGCTAACACTTGACAGCAACGTCAAGTCGAGTTCCTGTCAGTTCCTCAAGACTGTTTCTACGGCACTATCGTCACCGAAGTCCAGGTCGTTCACTCCACACCCTCAGCGAACCATCTCCCTAGTGAACCCAAGCCCGCTTACACTGCTGGTCCATCGTCACCCCAAGTCTCCTTTGACGAGAACCCACACGTCGCGCAGGGATCTCACAGTCACTACTTCTCGACCTCTATATCCCCTGGTATTGACAGCAGAGAGCGAACTAGCATGTCCCCTCTCCGCCGCATAACATCGGCGACAAACCGAACCGTCAACAAGTTCGTCATCGACGATCCCATCAAGCGGGCTTACTTACGCACGAGCTTCCTTTTCGCCCTTAGTGTGCTGGTGACTTGGATCCCGAGCAGTCTGAACCGCATCCACAGCTGGCTCGTCGGTACGTCTCCCTACGAGTACCATGTCGCCACGGCCGCCGTCCTTCCCCTCCAAGGACTCTGGAACGCGGTGATTTTCTTTGTGACGAGTGGGAAACCCCTTCGAGAGTGGTACAGAAACCTACGCTACCCCCAGGCCCAGGATAGAGAGATGATCGAAACACGGGTGGAGCATGATGAGCATGTTGGAAGAAGCGGCGAGAGTTTCCTGGACGACACAGACTCCGGTAGCGACGTTGAGCTGCGAAGAATGGGAGAGGCGCCGGGCAAGAGATCGGCGAGTCTCTGAGGGGGGAGGTTTTTAGAAGGGATCCTTTTTCTTATGTCTGGCCTATATGTACGCTGAGAAGATTTTATGGCTTGTGATGAGTGGCGATGTGTATCGCAATCTAGACTAGAATACTAGACTTGATGATAACTGGGCATCTATGAGTGACGAACGCCATGGAACGTTTCTAGATGAAGGCATATCCTCAAACTCTCAAAGACAAACAGTCATTGACAAGTAACTATTTCAGTACAGTCGACTCGGTTACATGGCAGCGCCGTGAATCACAAGAGTCTTTCCAGAGCTTCCAATTTCCTGGACCGCCGATTGCTCCACAGCCAGGAGAAGACTACTAGCTCTTACGAGCAATTCTATCACCAATCAGCACAGGCCATGCAATCATGAACTAGAATCATACCTTCATATACAAGCTTGTAGTGAACTGGTGGATCGTCATCTGGACCCGAGATGAGCGGCATAGTTTCAGATGCTGCCGGTGCAACGCTGAATCGTATCCCAACGTTGTTATGCGTATCAATCCAGATGATATTCTCAGAGTCAGACTGAGACTTATCCTGTTTGCTCGCCATCTTGGCGAGCCACTTTCGGAAGACGCGGATAACCCCGTCGACAATGTTAACATGGCTTATGAATAGTCCGCTCCTTGGACCCTCCTTGACAAGGTTCGTAACAGCACAAAGCTGAGAAAACATTTCCCCATCATCAAGGTTCACATCTTGAGTGGCGGTATCATCTTCAACATCATCAGAGGGCTGCGCCTCCGTGGGACGTCTTCGGCTCCTTTTGATACTTCTATTCTCGGGAGCGAATACGGGCTTATAAGAGGCATACAAAGCTCGTAGATCAGACAGCTCGGGCATATCTTCGCTGATGGGCTGGCCGTCTTGCCCCACGATACCTTGGTAGCGGCATGCCAAATAAGGTGTGTAAAGCTGATCGCTTGGGTGGTAACACTCTAAAATAAGCTTATTGTCTGGAAGGGGCGCAGCTTGAAGCAGGCGTTGGTGAAGGAGACGAGTGACAAGAGAGCAGATGCGGCGGTTAGTCGGGGCGAAAGAGAGTAAATCTTGAGTTGAGAAGGGGGCCAAGATCGAGATGAGAGTCTAAAAGAAAGTCAATTCCTTAAAATGGCCCATTTTTTCTGGCGAGAGCTCACTTCGTTTGGTAGAATATCGATGAAGCTATCGTTAGCCGTCATCATCATAGACTATGGTTCCCTGAGCTTCATCAGGTGGCGATACGATGGACAGCGGGTATATCATCCACAAACAACAGAAAACCCAATAATAGAAGAATAAATAGGATTAACGGGCGAATTTTAAAGCCAGTGGAAAGAAGATTTGGGCGCTAATAGAAGGAAACTGAGTTTTTGGCTGTGTTATGTTATGCTATATTATGTTGAGTGAGTGTAGCTTTGTAGCCTCAATATGAGGTGACAGCTTCATTAAGTGTCCTAAAACGCGGGGGAGGGGCAGGCTAATTTAGTCAGCATCCGCAAGTCCGAATGACGAAATACTATCTTTGCATCTGATAAGTAAGTTGATAGATACCTTAGTATTATTGGATCTTGCCCTAATCGAGAATACTCCTACTATTAAACAGATAACGCGGATAGATTCCATCCTCACCGCCAATGATGCTTCAAAGCGTGACGGGTATAGCTTAATCCCCACTGGGTAGTCTTGACATTGACTCCTCCGTATATCTGGAGGTTACGAACTCTATACAAGTTGTCGGCCACTTGATTGGCTTTCTCTATACCCGTAGTTTGATCTTCTCTCAACAGAACGGCAGGTGGCAATTGAGTCTGTTGAAATTTACCGCGCGGCTGTTGGCTTTCCGGGAGTTGAACGTTTGACGCCACATAAAAGTATAATAGCTATAAGCGATGTGTTTTATACGAGAGCACACCCAATCAATTCCCTATTAACGAAATAGTTATGCTTATATAAGACTGTTTGGGTTGTGAAGCACTATCAAGGTAAGTTAGTGGTACTTGTGAATGTCGGAGCCGGGACCCGGAGCGGGGTGGGGCTTAACGGGGACTCAGTTTGTAAACGCCGGAAGCCGTCCCACTTTCATCCGCCTAACCTCAACCTTCCCTCAACCTTCAACTCAACGATCACAGGAAACTCAAACCTCATACCTAGGAAGGAAGGAAGACTCTAAAGTACAAAAGCTCCATTTCCATTCCAGATTGGGCAACCGCGTGCCTGTATCGAAATATTATTCTTATAGTCTCCAATCTCACCCAGACATGACATATCCTCAAGAGCCTTAAATGCTCAACATCTCCGCATGGAGTCTTCCTCAAGGTTCGGCCTCAACATAAGATGCAATCAATTTTGTTGTTCAAAAATTCGTATTATCAGCCTCTTTCCCGTATCGAATATGTCCTCGGCCAAATCAACTCAATACGCGAACGCCATAAACATCTTTTCAACAACAAACACACATTCAAGGCCAAGAATTGGCGGGAAAAGATCTGGGGTTCAAAATGATAGGACAATAGCTTTTCTACATGGTCCGATTATTGAGGGGAGGTAGACGCCATGGCTCTCAACTCACAACACAATCGGACAAGGCGTCCTATTCGCAGGATCAAGTGACCATGTTTCTATAAAATCTCATTGACCCTGAGAGATCATTGCTTCTCTATCAACCTCCTTTGAAGCTCTACAACACGGCACAGCTCTTTCGAAGCAATGCGTTTCAACACTCTGGTGGGCCTCGGCCTTCTGGCAGCCGAGTCTGCCCTTGCAGTCCCCTGCCCACCGGGTAAGTAGCAAAAGAGCCATGAAAGATACAGAGCATCTACTTACAGAACACCTTAGCAAGCGTCTCGACCGCAACCATAGATGTGACTACTACCGCGACGCAGAATATCACTGATGCGGCGACGGACACTGTTACAATGACAGAGTCCGTGTTTGAGACCAATACCGTTAACTCAACGGCTGTGGTGACCTCCACAGAGGTGGATCTTGTTGCTACGACCAGTACCGCAACTGTCAACGCCACAGAGACTGAGTTTACTACTGTCAACTCAACGGTCGTGTTCACGTCTACAGAGACTGATGTGGACGTTGCCACCACAACTGCAACTGTCAACTCGACTGCTGTCTTTACCATTACAGAGACAGAGGAGGTCACCAGCACCGAGACTGACACTGTTAACAACACAGCCGTGTTCACGACTACTGAGGTAGATGTCGAGACCAGCACCGAGACTGCTACAGTTAACTCTACGGTGCTATTCACCTCCACAGAGACTGACTTCACCACTGAGGCTACTACGGCTACAACTGTTGTCTTTGTCACAAACTCGACTACTGTTACTCAGACTTCTACTGTCAATGCTACAGAGACAGCCTTTGAGACTGATACGGTTCTCACCACTGCTACGGTGAACACTACCTCAACTGTCAACGTCACTGCTACAACAGTTGAGACCAACACAGCTTTCGTTACTTCGACTGTTGATACTACGGCAACTGTAAACACCACAGCCACGGATTTCGTCACTGCCACTGTCAACACTACAGCCACTGCTTTCGAAACCGATACGGCTTTCACTACTGCAACAGTCAACACCACTGCGACAGACTTTGTCACTTCAACTGTCAACACTACAGCCACCGCCTTCCAGACTGACACAGTGACTTCGACTATTAATACTACTGCTACTGCTTTCGAGACCGATACAGTGACTTCGACTGTCAATACTACGGCCACTGCTTTCGAGACCGATACAGCCTTCACCACTGCAACGGTCAATACTACCGCAACAGTCAACACCACAGCTACAGCCTTCCAGACTGATACGGTGACCTCAACTGTCAACAGTACTGCCACAGTCAACACGACGGCCACGGCTTTCCAGACCGACACTGTTTTCACCACTGCAACTGTCAATGCTACTGACACAAGCACGGCCACTGTGACAACAACACAAACTGTCTTTGTAACAGCTACCGAAACTCCCACTGATGTGACATCTACAGAGACCAGCACCGAGACTCAGACTATCGATGCGACTTCTGTAGTGACTGACACTGTTGACTCAACATCTACAGTAGTTGTTACTGCCACTGTGACATCCACTGTTGATCCCGCATCCACAAGCGCCAGCGTGACTCCTTCGTCTTCTCCCGCCGCTTCACCAGCCCCTGCTTCTTCCGACCCAGCCAGTGCTTCTGGAGCCGCAACTACTACAACCGTAGTAGTAGCTACAACGGATACTACGAGTGCCGCTAGCTCACCTGTTGCTTCAGCGGCTACTTCTTCTCCCGCAGCGGCTTCCTCTGACACTACATCCGCAGCTACTGGAGCCGCTTCAGGGGCTGCCACTACCACGACCACAGTAGCAGCACCTGTGGGTACTACTAGCGATCCTGTTGCTTCAGACCCTACGTCATCCCCAGCACCGGTCTCTTCTGATTCAACTTCTGCCACCGCTACTGGAACTGTCACAACTACCGTTACTACAGTTGCTACAACAGCCCCTGTTGCCGAAGACTCAACTTCGTCAGCAGACCCTTCGTCTGCTGCCATCACTTCTGCAGAGCCTTCTGCTGATCCTACTGATTCTGCAGAGCCTACTGCAGATTCTACTGATTCTGCGACTGAAACAGCCACCACTTCATCGGCTGTCGATGGCGCCCCCGTCGATGACACTCCTACGACTTCATCAGCTAGCCCCGCGGGTACTACGACTGCAACCACTACTGTTGACCCCGCTACCTCCACCGGCGCCTAGATTACTTCATTAGGCCCAAACCTGACGGCATATGAGAGAGTCCATTTCTGGTTCATGAGTGGTCTTTATAAAATGTAACTGTGAAGTAGGGGGTGGCCGAATAATGCTTTCTTATTCTTTGAAAGTCCGGCATCATGATGAAGGGGTCTCAAAGGACTTAAGTGTGGCTGGTATGAGACAAGCACATCGTGGAGTCACACTCCGAGTTCGATTGATCTTGTGTTACGAATAGTTCAAAGCCTTTCCTTAACATTTGGACCTTCCATAGTTATTTTTGATTTTGTCAGGCAATATACATGCGTTTGGCTCCCAGCTGGGTTGAGTACATTGTTCCTTAGTATAATCAATTACCATACCAACTGTACCGAGACATGTTACCAGGAAACAAGCGTATGATCGTCGATCTGACATATGAAACATCTGCAGTGATAAGCACATCATTTTATCAAAGTGTCATTCATCCAGGATATGGGGTTATCCTCTCACAAAGCAGATTGTGTAACTCGACACCTTGGGCAGATAGAAAATAGAGTCCCCATCGACTACCCGCCGATTGCAGGAGAAGAGCGAGTTTCTCGAGATCGCCGCTAAGCTGTGAGACACTATAAAGGCAGGTGATGGCGGAGGAACAGACAGGGTTTTTGGTTATGCGGCGTTATGCTGCGTGGACCCTGAATTGGAGGAGAGAGATATGTTGTGTCATATAATCTCCGATAAAGGAGTACAAAGACAGGCTCTTGTACAAAGAATGCCGTTTGCCTGCAGGTCAAGAATAGACAGCACAGAAGTTTCCTATTCAGGGGTTAACGCCAACAAAAACAAACGGGACAATAGACTGGCGGAGTTCTTGATGTTTCGGTTGAAATACAATTCGATATATGATATCCGTATCGTATCGGAGCTGCAACATATGCCGATATAATGCCGTCTGTATGTCTCAGTGCGTAGCTTAAACAACGCCTCATTGTTACCTCCCCGAACGGGGCTTTGACAGTTTTGGGAGACCGGGGAGAAGAGTTACGATCATTGCCAGGATGAGTCTTCCAGACATACGGAAAGATACACAGGTTGCAGAGATCACCGCTTTGAAGTCTGCTATGCTCTTGGACCGTCATGACTGGGATAGCTTCCGCTGCCATGGTAGAGATTTTTTGCAGCAAAGTTCGCATGCCACTTAACTCTGTGGTTCATTCTGCATATTATTAGCCTGTAGCAGTCAACCGAATCTGCATGTTTGTCTCACTTACTGAGAACAGCTCAAGGTGCTCTAGACATGAAATCGGGGGATCTTCTATGTCCGATTATCGTTGACCTATCAACACAACAACTTCCTTGGTGATACTACATGAACATACTCCACGACATCCATATAACCAGAGAGACATGCATCACTTAGTATCTCCCTGCCAACTCTTGCAGTTGTGTCGTGACATCACAACGTAGTATCCCGTCAATGATATGCACGTCAGTCTCCCTGCCACTCAGTATCCTCGTGGGGGCACATCTCGTCAACACGGAAGGTCTGGTCTCCTCGTTTACCGCTTAGGATTACTGATATGATGGCCAGCAATGCTTGAAAGACGGGAGGGCTCTGGTTTGAGTTGTACAGAAAATCGGGATCGGCGAGAACAAGTTTGCCGTGTCGCGCGCAATCTTGTGTGACATTGCTTGGGGAGATAGACATGGGGTTCATGAAGCAACTGTTGACAGCAAACATTGCATTATCTATGCAGAGATGAGTTCGAGACTTATGAAATAGATGGTGAGTGGTAGTAGTCCGATTCGTTAAAAGAGATGGTGGGTTGTAATCTGTCATCGATAGCATATAGCTCGATGCTCACTGTTGGTATTGTCAGACTAACCTTGAGGTTTTGGGGCCGATATTTGTTTATATCCGCGATTAGTTCGCGGACATAAAGTTGAGTTAGGGCCGATTTATGCTTGTTGCTTTCTCTCCAGGTGATTAGATCCGTATTGGTTCCAAGGTTGCTGCCAACGATGGCAACTATGTTTGGCATCAATCTCATTCGGGCAATAGAAAGCAAACAATACCAATAAGAGCCGTTAGGTAACATTGAGAATTTGAAAGTATAGAACGTCAGTAACAAGTATATATCCACTGATTGCTTCGTAAATGACTGGCCACCAAAATTATTGCTGAATGTTGGGCTTCATGCTTCTCTCAATGTAGAGCATGTCACTCATCATACTTTCCGTTCTTGACTAATCTGACATAAAAAACAAAAGAACCCATCAAACAGGGTGTGGCTTTTGAGTCAGATTTTCCAAGATAAGCAATAATATGTCTGAGGATTGAGTGGCATGTAATTCTATAGGGCAGAAGCGCAAAATGCTTATCACCGCCTAGATATTATTTGGCCATAAAACGTCTTCAAACGCAACCGGGATACACGCCACATCAGCTGATATGCGTCAAACAACCTTCGGACTTGGAAGAAAGCGCGAGAGCGCGATACCGAGGCCCAAAGTCCGTCTGATAAACATACTCAAATCTAGCCAACGATCATCATGTAAGGAGCTGAATGTGGCGTTCGCAATGGTTGTCCTTGCAGATTATCATTCTCCAAAGGAAAACCTCTGACGGGTTGAGAAACAACTCCGTTTCAGAAGTTGTGTTTCTTTTCGATACCTAGAGTCGTTGCCTGTCTAGCCGAGTGACTGTGGAATGAGCAAGGCCTCATGTCAGCAGTGACACCGATGCTATTAGCGCTGATTGATCAGTTCATAGGGCTGAGAGAGTAAGCCGTGATCTGGCCTCGCGGCTTAGACCCTGTTCCTGCCGCTTCCGTATCAGTCGTCGCGGTTCATAGAAGTAAGCATATCTCCGACTGGTCACAGCCCCAGGTTGTGCCCGACTTGTTCTTATTCCAACCTGACTAGTTTCTCGTCGGCGTGTTTATACCACTCGGAAACACTTCCAAGGCTGGAAGAGAAAACCCGCATGTTGCGTCAGACCGGCCCGTTCCCGCGTAAGCCTCATCCGTTGCAGCGCGGAGGGTATTTGCTCCGTCAATGTAATGTAGGCAATCCGTGCCATTGTATCAGGAAGGCCGTGTAAGCCGGCGGCCGGCATTTCGGCATGACAGGATGTTTAATCCCCACTTATGCTGATTTTTGAGAACGGAGCCTATGGGTTGTGGGAGTAAGACTGATGAAACTTTGTTCATCTTCTCCTAGCCCGTATGTTTCTTTGGATGTTGTCGTGATGTTGTAAACTGTCAGCCACCACACCCTCAATTCCACCAGCTCCCCCTAACGCGGGATCGATCCTTGGCTTCCTGGTGGCGGCTCTCAGTACCTGAATCCAATGTGTGTAGGCGTGCCCGATAGACTTCGGCCTTATTTCCACGTGGTAGATGTTCCCATTGCGGCAACATTAAAGATATCGGTGATTATCCTCATCAGTCCATTCAGTGAGCAGCATTCCGTATATGCAAAATGAGGACTCATATCATCGACATTGAACAGGCACTTTTGGCATGTATGAAATAGTTCCAATCTGAAGCTTATTTGTTCAGCCGGTGCTGGCTTGATTATGGCGAGATCATTCGAACCGGCTGGCCATCACCGTAATTTCAGGATCCATTTTGCCGTTAAGAAGTTTCGAGAAGTTCAATTATCCTCGTTGGGGATATTAAAAAAACAGCCTCCTGGTCATTTTCGATGCGAGTTGTAATGGCTGTCGATCAGCATGCAAGGATCCCGCCAGCAGATCCCCGTGTGGCACTCCAACACTTCCATGAGGAGGGAAATGGGGGGTTTTGTGGTTATCTGACAAATTTTCCCTTTTGTCTCTTTTATCTCTGTCTCGTTTCTTCGTAGGACAGTAATGGATACGATGCTCACCCAATACGTCTCCTCGTGAAGCTCCCTAGGTTGAATCTGGCACAGGACGTTGAAAAAAACTGCCTTTGAACGAGGTCTTGGTCGTTCTGTTGCACATAAATCCAGCCTTTGACTGTATTCTTTCTTTGAAACATTCTTGAATATTGATACTTTGCTTGTGACAACAGACTGCGGCCATTGTCAGACCCTTGGTTTCACCATCTGAAGTCTTCGGTGAGCAGGCTTTGGTCTCTTTGTGCTCATGCTTATCGTTTATTTTTTACTGAAGCATGTTCAGTGTTACATCATTCCAACATTCCGCCCCGGTGCGCGGCTCTGTCATACTAAGCTGCCTGCAGTTCCGACTGGTTCGACCTGAAATATGCTTCGGAAGGACAAACAGCAGCTCAGCCTTGCCGTCTCGCAAAGCTCTACCCAATTAATGCTCGTATCGTTCTCACCCAGTTGCAGAATTAGAGCCGTGGTCAAGAATCAGATTAAGCTTTTGGGCAGTTCAAGACAGACCCTCGACAATGTGGCATAGGACACAGGGAAGAAGTTGAGCTACTATGTCGATACACAATGTTCAATGGCCCAGACCTTTCGATTCTCGAAACTCGAAATCGGTATAAGTATGAAGTGATTGATTGCGTATTCTATTGCTCTTAGGCGATCTCTTCGGCCATTTCTCTGACTGAGAAATGGAGGCGTGTACAGAGTAAACCAGGCATTATGAATGCAGGATGTCTGTCAAAGGATGCATAGCGCCATATTTGGCCCTGTAGCATGTGCGTGAAACATCTGCCGGCAGTGCAATCTTCAGCTTTTCTAGCCCGCCGCGGCAAGGATGAGCACCGCAAATCATCATAGGCTGTCGTTTACTTCGTGTATGCAAAAACGGAGGATCCTTGTAAAATCGACAATCGTCAAGTCTCCAATGAGTTGTTCAAGCCTTGTTGATGGAATATGAAGAAGGACAAAAGTGCCAAGATCACCAAGCCCGAGTTTGATGTGACGCAAAAGCTTAAGTAATTCTGGGGGCCTGTGTAAGTCGTACCTCCCTTAAGGTTGGTATCTGAAAAGAAGGTGCTTGGCCCGCTACTTCCATACCTACGTCGGGTTACAATTAATGTTGGAAGGAGTACCTTAGCTTG